GCATAAGAAGGGATTGATGGGGGTTGATTGCTGAGTAAATTTATTCACACATTAATAATTATATAGATCAAATATGAGCAAATGATTGAATTGTATGATTTGGGATATAATCTTGTATGCATAATAATAAAAAAAAAATAATTTTAGCTTGAACAAAAAATAGAACACATACCGTAACCTAATAAATTTTAAAACTTAAATGATGATAAAATTCCATGAAATCTGATCAAATTTTTAAGATTTTTGTCTCACTTTTTGGCAATAATGCATCTATCCGTCAACAATGAGTTTATTCAAACGGTTTAATTTCGACTTTTTTTTTTTTATTTTTTTATATTGTTACAAACAATAAGAAAAAAGGTCAATTTGAAAAGGCCCAATGTAAAAAAAAATAAAAACAATCAAAAATTTATATATTAAACAAGCTTTTTTTGTCACCGCTCTAGTTTGATTTTCACTACGTCACCATTTAATTAAAGTTATTTAAATTTAAAGTAAACCCTATATTTAAAATGCATTTATTTAGAAAATTTATTTAGAAAATTCCTCGTCGAATAGTATGCTATTTTTGAAACATTCAACCAATATATATAAATATAATTTTGAAATCAAAATTATTTTTATTTTATCAAAAACATTGTTTTCAATATATTTATATATAGTATGTTATTAAACAAATTTTAAGAAGCAAATATGCAGAAATTGATTTACAAAATCAATTTACTTCCTCCTTTATCTAAACCAAACAAAGATTTGAATTCGCGATCTTTCTAAGAATTTAAATGAAAAATTTAAAAAGAAAAAATAATAATGAATCATTAGTTAAACATTATTATTTGATAGCTTTATTGGTTCATCTCTATCAAAAGTATCAAATTTCGAGTATTTATTTTATATTTTTTTTTGATTTATAATTTTATTTTAACGATAAAATCCTTAACGTTAATATTTCGAGATCTCACATATAGATTCTTATGCGCTAAATTTTTTAACTATTCGAGTTTTCTTTTTTTGTTTTTATTTTGGCCAGAATTTAGGTCATTTTCGTTATCATTATTGTTATTTCAATGTGACGATCAAAAATTATTCCTCCTTTAACGTTAACGTTAACAATTTAACGATATCAATATATTTTTTTTAAATTTTATGTTAATGATTAACGTAACCTTTCTTACATTTCATAATAAAAATTATCATAATCTTTATATTTTAAGTTATCTTTTATAACAAACAATATAAGTAGCCATTACTTTTAAATGATATTCATTGAAACTTAAAAATTTTTTTATCATGTCTTTTAAAACTTCAAAATTTTTTAAAGGGCCATTTAACATCATTAGTTTTTACAAACGTGAGATTGATAGAAAATTACAATTACAGACACAGTAAAACTTTTCAAATCATTTATCATTTTATTTTTATTTTATTGTGTGATATAAAATTTTTTATACCGACGATTTATTTTAAAAATTTTATTTAATTCTGAATAGACAAATCCGCCATATATTCAAACTAATAAGCAAGCAAATTATCTAATATGTTTTTAATTAAGCAAATCAAATTATCTTAAAAGAATTCACTCTGCTGGCCCTGCAACCCAAATGAATTTCTTGTAAGATAATATTTATAACAAAAGCGAAAAAAATTTTGTTGGCCCAGCAACACTGAATCTTTTTTTGCTTTTGCTATGAGAAAGAAAAAGAAATTATATAATTAAACTATTTTAAGAGGATAAAAAGTAAAAAAAAATACTTTACTGGCCCAGCAATTCCAGAATTTATTTTACTCTTATTACTAGAAAGGAATGTAAATTATCAAGAAAATTATATGTATCAACCTTCGACTCTTCCAAATGATTTTAAAAGTTATTCTAGTATAACATATCCTTGCTTAAATGGGAGTTCACGAATACTGCTTCTACAATCTTTCACATCATGGCCAATGCACTAATATTTAACGCAGAAACCTAAATATGATGTTTTAATATTCAGACATAAGAACATACATGGTAAATTTCCTTGTATATACCAAAGGAGCTATTCAGTTATTTTTCTTTGACAAAGTTTAATATGCTTGTTGGTAATTGTATTTAGCCTATTTAATACACATAAAAAGAAAAAGTTAATATAATACGTTAGCCTATCTATTACACTAAAGCACTTATATTTGATAAAACTGAAGGTGTGAGATTGACTGTATAAGTAACGGTACTGGTACGTAATGTTTCATCTAAAGAAGATTGTAAAGTAGTTCTTTTGAAAGTTTTTGTGATATGAGAACGTGATGAACATGCTTCTTTATTGTTTTTTGAAACATCAGCTATAAGTGTGTATATTATGAACAAAGTTGTTAAAATTAATCCAGAAAATAAACCTTCAAACTTGTTATTGTGTTTTTGTACTATTCTTGTTCTTCTAAAATAATATTACCCTTGAAATTTTTGAAATGGAAGTTGAGAAGAAATTTTTTTTTGCTTAAAAATTTTTTTTGGAAATTGAGATGTATATAAGTATAGCAGCTTTTATTATAATTGATTAATTTTTACAGATCATTTTTTATTATTGCTAAAAATTCTATTGGTTGATAAAATTATATGATTTCTTAATGATCAAAAGATAGTTAATCAAATAGTTATGATAATTGATAATTTAGCCTAAATGAAAAAGATATTTAAATAATAATAATAATAATAAAAATTCAATAAACTGAATTTTATTATTATTATAAAATTATAAAACTATAAAATTTTTTATTGTTTGCATTCTAACCTATTGATACTTTGATATCTAAACTGTAGTAAAATCTCCTTCTAATTGTATACTTATTAAAATACTTATAACCCTCTTAAAATTGATCTATATTATCATAATCTATATATTTATCTAAAAAAATCTTCATCAATAACATCTATTTTATCTATACTCTAATCTTTTATTTTCATGCTCAATGAATTCAGAGTTTTTTATACAATTTGTTTTAATTTTACTTATAAGATACTCAATATAATATTAGCATTGATTCTCTAATTTGAATAAAAAATATTCGTAATGATAAATATATTTACAAATCAGAATACAACCTACCTCACAAAATTTATGCATCTATTTAAGTCACAGCATTTATCTTATCATAGAATATTTATCATATTTTAGGCTATATTGTTATATTAACTTGAACTTCAAATATTAAAAGTTCATATATTTTGAGTTTCAAATATGTATCAAATGAAATAACTTTTAATTTACTAAGAATTTGAAAGTTATTTGTAAAAAAATTTAAAAGAAAAAATGCAGTATATTTTATAAGATATTCTAAATATTTGTTAAATATCTGATATTATAATTTAGTAAATACATTTGTGAAAGAATTGTCATTGTATATCTGATCAAATATTTATACTTTTCAAATAATATATTCTACTGTATTTAATTTTTGTTTTATCATTGAAACAAGCTATGAAAGTTTTTTACAATATAATCATTGAAAATATAAAGAGAATTTATAAGAGATTATGAAATGAGTGATCAGTATTAAACTAATAAAAAATATTACTTAAAATGTCAAAGGCAACTTATTATAGTATCTGTGTTTATATTAATAAAAGACAGTTTAGATACAAAATATTACTTTTATATATGTTTGCTAATTTTACTACAAAAAATAATGGAATAAAAAATCTAAAACTAATAGTATAATACTGTTTAGCAAATTAGCAAGATATCTGATTTTTAGATCTTTAGAATGTTCAAATTTTTACATAATTATAGAATGAACTTAAGACTAATCTTATGAAGTTTAATTCTAATATCAAATTAATTTTGTAAGGTTTTTGGCTTTTTTACTAATATCTTATTAAATCTAAATATCTATAAAAGAGTAAGTCAAAAAAATGATAATTCATAAGAAATATCATCTTATAACTGTTTCATTAATCAAAATTAAAAAAATTAGACATGTGAAAAATCAGCCTAAAATTAATCTAAATTCAGCTTAATTTTAGCAAATTATCAAAAATTGACTAAGCTGATTGACATACATCAGAAATTGGCCAAAAATCAACTAAAATTTGACCTATCTTATTTATAGCTGATTGATGTTCAATTGGAATGATTGTATTATTCCTTAAGTATAATAGTATTATCGTTCTTAAGGTATAGTTTAATCATTCTTAAGAAACAATATATTTATCATTCCTTAGGAACAATGATTTTATCATTTCTTAGGAATGATAGTTTAATAATTCCTAAGGTATGATAGTTTTATTATTCTTAAGATACAATGATTTTATCATTTTTAAGGTATAATGATTTTATTATTCCTAAGATATGATGATTTTATTATTCCTAAGATGCAATGATTTTATCATTCCTAAGGAATAATGTATTTATAATTTCTTAGGGATGATGATTTAATCATTTTTATAGTACGATAGTTTTATCATTCCTTAAAGACGATATATTTATCATACCTTAAGTATGATAATTTTATCATTCTTAAAGAATGATGCATTTATTATACCTTAGGTATAACAATTTAATCATTTCTAAGGAATGATAAATGCATCATTTCTAAGGAATGATAATTTTATCATTTCTAAGATGTGATAGTTTTATTGTTCCTAAAGT